CATATATATATATATATATATATGTATATATTTACACACAAGACTGAATGATAGTATTTACACACAAGACTGAATGATAGTGTAAATTATTGGCTTCATAATATAAATGCATGTTAATAGGCATTGTATATATATATATATATATACATATACATTTTTAAATAAAATTATTACTTTTTTGCAAGGATGATCAAAAGTGACACTAAAGAAGTTTCTAATTTATATAATTACAAAAGATTTAAAAAATGCTGTTCTCTTAAACTTTATATTCATCATAGAATCCTGACAAATCTATCATGGTTTCCACAAAAAATAATAAGTAGCACAATAGCCTAGTCTATAACAAATGTTTCTAGAGAACCAAATCAGCATACTATGATTTCTGAAGTATCACGTGACACAGGACTGGCGTAATGATGCTGAAAATTCAGCTTTGCCATCACAGGAATAAATTACATTTTAACATATATCAGAATAACAAACAGTTATTTAAAAAGGTAATAATATTTCATTTTTGCTGTTTCACTGTATTTTGTTCAAAATACTAGTACTGGGTTTTTTTTTCCAGAAACATTCAGAAATATTGAAAAATCCTACTGACCCCAAATTACATCTTAAAATTACATTCTGGAAAATGTACTACACAGTTAAGCTTTACACATGCTAAAAATGAACGTTTAAATGTTAAACAAATTACTGGAACTATACTCTTCTTACTAGCACTTGAGTTTTTTTCTTAAAACCTAACTTGTACCCTTATCTACGTGTTTAAAAGTAATTTTTACGTTAAATAGAACTGAAGAAAATTTGTCTGTTTTCAAACCAGCTTCCCAAAACACTACCCCTGGCTACCTCTTGTTCAAAAAACAGATAGTCATGCCCCAAATTTTGAACAAACATTTTGGTATTTTGGTATGTTTATCTGTTCTTTACTCCATAATTTACCAAGGTATGGTAAATCATTTTGTCAAGTGAACTGTAACCAAGAGGGGCTGCTTTTTTTCAACATGTCAGTCTGCACCTGTCCACCTGCTTACATTTAATCTCCCTCAGAGCAGGAATCTGTCCTGAGACCCTGCAGGGACAAAAATGAAACATAAAGACCACAGCCTTGTTTGTGTGTGATCCTCATCCGCCTCATCATACAGATCTGAAAGATGACAGATTGTTGTGGGAGAGCTGCAGCCATCAAAACTGGACTGCCTAAAACTACACAACATGTTGTAGCTATGTATGGTCTTTAAAACTAGCTCTGTCACATCCAAGAAACACCTGAGAAAAACACCTATTCAAATGCAAAATGAAACCAAAAAAAGACCCTAATCATATTCAGATAGAAACAAAGTAATTACATAAAGGACACGCTGTACTTAAAAGTCCACATGAGCCTTAGATATAGCCTATACACCAACGTCTGTGAGAAAACAAAGACCATCAGATGACACACCCATATCTGCAACAATAAAACATTTTATGATTTATAACAATATGTACTAACTGAACACTGCCTCGTGCGCCATGTTGCTTTTAACATAACCCTCAAATCAATTGAATAATCAATCAATCTCACATCAATGACTTTTCCCTTTCACCTGTCTCACTCTTTGAAATTCAAAGAGGTACCAGTCTAGAGATAAGCACACAACAGACACACACGGGTCCTCTGCGCGCCTGCCAAATGGCTATATCATAATTCAGTGAGAATAATGGTCATAGAGCACACCGAGAGCAGCGCATGCACACATATACATACAGAAAACAGCAGTAAGAAAAGTGACACACCCACACACAGCACCCGAGCCACGACTGATGCACTGATGCGAGAACCGAAATGATCGTAATAAACCAGGAGCATGCATGCAGATAGAAAGTGAACTCACCTTAATCTAATGCAAAATGACTGCAAAAATAATTAGGATCTTTCTCATTTTGAATTTAAATAAACAGTTGCACATCGACGTTCAGGTGGTGCCACAGAATTAAGACGAAACTAAAGCCTTGCTTTATCCTACCATATACTAGTGTGTATCAGTGTAAAAACGTGGGGTGATCTGTCGGCATATGATCCACTGCGTTTATGACTCGGTTCTCCCTCACTGCGTGAACCTGTGCGCGTGCTCCACTCTGTGGCGTGTGCGTGTTTGTCTATTTTTGGTGGTTTACTCGTAGAGAGAGAGCAACTTATTTTCAGGAGAAGTTGCTAAAGGAAGTTTGATTTGTTGCTAAAAGTTGCTAAATGATGTTGTGATCACAACGCAAAATTGTCACTGCATCAAATCTTACCAAAAATATATTTTATATGTTAATTTAGATTTGTTCATAAAATAATATATGGATAATATAATATTAAAATATAAATAACTATTTTTTATGCAAAACAAGTTGCCAAATAAATTTTAAAAATAGCTCAATTTGTTGCTAGGTGCTTTTGGAAGAAAAAGTTGCTAGGGTAGTCTGAAAAGTTTCTAAATTTAGCAACAAAATATCTGAATTTAGCAACACTGGCTCTGGATAGTGTTAGGAATTTTGATTCAGTAACTCGAATCTTTTGAGTCGGTTGAGTCAACCACGCCTACCTAAAACAGCTCGTTCTAACACGCGCTCACATGTTTAAAGGGGTCATATGATGCGATTTCAAGTTTTCCTTTCTCGTTGGAGTGTTACAAGCTGATTGTGCATAGAATGTCCTGAAGGTGCTGTGCGTTTTGTTGTGAAAGCGAAACTACTTTGTTTGGCCTTCCAAAAGTACTGGTCACTGAGGAAATACATCAACTTCGCACTGTGGATCGCCAAATCGGCTTTCACCGTGGACGAAGCGGAGTCCAGCCGGGGGTCCGTCACATGTGGTTGCCGCAAGCCCGCCGGACGCTCCTTCGTCGAATCCGCCGGCCGCGCCGTTCTCAAGCCCCCGTCCTCTGCTCACTCTAGCCCTCTGGCCGTTCCTCACTCTAGCCCCCGGCCTCTGCTCACTCTAGCCCTCTGGCCGTTCCTCACTCTAGCCCCCGGCCTCTGCTCACTCTAGCCCTCTGGCCGTTCCTCACTCTAGCCCCCGGCCTCTGCTCACTCTAGCCCTCTGGCCGTTCCTCACTCTAGCCCCCGGCCTCTGCTCACTCTAGCCCTCTGGCCGTTCCTCACTCTAGCCCCCGGCCTCTGCTCACTCTAGCCCTCTGGCCGTTCCTCACTCTAGCCCCCGGCCTCTGCTCACTCTAGCCTGCCATGTGTGACGCTGTGTGCTTCATTGTGAAAGCGAAACTACTTTGTTTGGCCTTCCAAAAGAAGACACGACTAGAACTCAGTGGTCAAGTTGTATTTACAACACTTCCAGAACAGGTCAACCCAAATAGAAGAATGCTTGCAATGTCGCCACCTGCAGGCGTAACAATGTAGCTACAAAGACTTGTAGTATCAAAACGTCCATAAAACTGTAAAGTCTTACCACAGTTGACAGACGCCCACAAGGTCATCCATCCCATGTATTTAAACCGCTGAAGTGTTCTGAGCTGAACTACATTTGATGACTAGTTCATTAACTAATTCATTGCATGTCACGTGACAAATGAACTACTTCCAAGTGGTGAAGTAATTTTTATTTATCTTTTTTCTAATATGGGATTTGATAAATATTTCGCAAAGACTGAACGCGTATGGGTAATCTGTCTAAAATGTAAAATTTTCAATAGAAGCTTAACGAGAGATTAAAATGAATAAAAAACACTATATGGCAGCGCCAACATGTAGCCAAATATCTAAATCACAAGCATTCACAACCCGCATTTATTAACAAATGTTTATGTTAATATTTATTTTTTCTTGGGCTTCACTTCTGTCTGTCTTTCTGTTTTGGGCCCATCACAGACACGCCTAGACAAAACGAGAACTAGACCTTGGACACACTGGCACACACACACATTCTGTGAATTGTGGGGACTTTCCATAGACTTCTATTACTTTTATACTGACCAAACAAATTTTTCTATCCCCTAACCCTAAACCTACCCCTTACAGAAAACCTGTTTGCATTGTAACACTTTCAGATAAACATCATTTACTATTTTTAATCATTTCTTTCCCTCGTGGGGACCGCAGGCCGGTCAGGTTAAAAAAATTTCAGGTTTTACTATCCTTGTGGGGACATTTGGTCACACACACACACACACACACACACACACATTTTGAGTACTCTGATTGGCTGTCCAGCCCCAGGACATCGTTTATGTTGTTGTATGAATCTGTGGTATAAATATGATCCATCTTCCTTAAAGAACTTGAGACTGTTATGGTAGTGCACTGGCTCTCTGTGTCTGCTTGATCATTCTCCCGGGATCCCACTCCCTGTGGCTGCTCTACACCACAGGGCTTGACTCACAGTTGATGACTGATAGCATCGAAACTATAAATAGTCTAAACTAAAATTTGATCTAATTTTATTAAATGAAATAAATGAAGAGCGCTGATGAGCAATGCAAAATATTTTATTTGGTATGTGAGGTATTATTGGACACTAAATGTTGTCTTATTGCTGTAAAAAGCAAAGCACAGTAAAGAAACATATTCTAGAAAGCTCTTTTGGTTGAACTGAATTATTTAAGGCACCATAGGCACATTTCAGCATGACACTTGAACACAAAGTAAAGTCTATAAGATGTGTAAGTGTTAGTAAACTAAAAACATATCATATTACATATTACAATGAACTTAGCGCTAGTTCAACTAAGACAGCAAAGGTACTGCTAATGCTACACTTACATGGCTTTATTGTAATAAAGTAAGAATGAAAACAATAACAGAGTGCAGCATCACAGTTTTTACTCATGCATATTAAGTGGTATAAGGCCTCTTAACCTCTGTCTCTCCTATTTTTGATTTATTCATCCTGTCCTTTGCCCTGCAGAGCCCCCAGAAGGCCATTGGCAGTAGTAAAGAGATTAATAGGAGAGGAGCCATCTGTAATAAGAGTAGACTTCAGACCCAAAGACTGCAGGAGCTTCACCTGGAAGAAAACATGGTACATGTTTTATTAGGTTATTTATCCCACTGACAAAATATTAAAACGACAGAATCTACATCCATCCATAAAACATTTGTGATGCAAAGCCACTACAGAAAGATGTTAATTTGCTATCCCAATGCTGACTTACCTGTAGTTCAGGCCCAGCTCGGGCCATTTCCTTCAGGGTTTCTGTGCCCAGGCTCTCGATCAACTCCTTGAAGCGCAGGCTCTCAATCTCTGCCAGTTTCTGCTGCTTCTGTACCTCCAGTTGGTCCATCTCCTTCTTGTAATTCAGCTCCTGCTCACGCGCCTTACACAGACGGGCCAGCTCAGCGTCCTGACTCACAGAGGAGAGGAAAATGGTCAAAATCTAACAGGGTAAGAATAGAAAAAGATGAGAACTAGCATAGTCTGGATGACATACGGCCTCAATTTTCTGAGCCTCTGCTTTGAGTTTGGCCTCTTCGACCGCTGCCTCTCCCTGTATACGAGCCGCCTCGGCCCTAGATTGTGCCTCAGCCTTCGCCGCTCCTGTACTCTCCACTGCAGCACTGGGAAACACACACAATGATTATTGACCGTGAAAACGTTACATGTGCAGACAAACATTAGCATAGCATTGGCCCTCGCAGTGAACTCACCTCTGAGCCTCCAGCTCAAGCAGCTCCTTCCTGGCTTTCTCTGCCTCTGCCTGGTCTGTGATCTTCTGCCTCTCCAAGCGACCCCGAGCCTCCTGCTCCAGACGCTCTGCCTCGTGTCTGAAAGAAGGGAAATGAATGTAAATAGGCATGACAGACAAATACATAGGAAAAATAGGGAAAGCTGGTTGAATAACAGAAGTTTAAGTCTTTTTTAAGTCTTTTCTTGTCATTTTTGGCACTCTAGCAGTTAATAAATTAAACTCCCTGTGTCTTGCAAAAAAAACATTGTAAGTTACATAGTGTACCTTTGAAAAAAAATACCCATCAAGCTTTTCACTATGGCTGATACTTGCATGGGATTGTTGCATTTCACCCCCTAGTGGCAGTCACACAGAACTTTCAAATTCTTTATGAAGGAACAGTAACTCTCCCCTTATGCGCCAGTGTAAAATGAATAAATAATGAATTTATAAATATATATCCACACAAAATCAATGTCCGTCAATACATCTGAAAAAAAAACAGTTGTTTTCTAGGGCTAATTAATATAAATAATGAAGTCAAGTCAAAATGTATTTCTATAGCAGATTTAAAAGCAACAGAAACACTGCACTCCGTCTTATCACATCTGGACACAAAAGACTCGTATGTCAGAATGCTGTTCATTGACTTTAGCTCAGCATTCAATACAATTATTCCACAGCAACTAGTGAGTAAACTCTCTCTACTGGGTCTCAACACGCCACTCTGCAACTGAATTCTAGACTTCCTGACAGAGAGACCACAGTCAGTGCGCATGACCCACGACTGCACAGCCAAGTCAGAATCCAACCTCGTTGTCAAGTTTGCTGATGACACGGCAGTAGTGGGCCTCATCAGCAACGATAACGAAACACCATACAGAGAGGAGGTGGAACAACTGGTGAGCTGGTGCCACAGCAACAATCTGTCTCTCAATGTGGACAAGACGAAAGAGATCGTTGTGGATTTCCGGAGAAGTTCAACTGATCATCCTCCCCTGTTCATCAGTGGCTCTGTTGTAGAGAGAGTCAGGTGCATCAAGTTTCTTGGTGTGCACATTTCTGATGACCTCACCTGGTCCATCAACACCAACTCCACTGTGAAGAAGGCGCAACAACGTCTTCACTTCCTGCGGAAGCTGAAGAGAGCCAGCCTCCCACCACCCATCCTCACCACCCTCTACAGAGGAACTGTGGAGAGCGTCCTGGCCAGCTGCATCACTGTGTGGTTCGGAAACTGCAAAACAGCAGAACGCAAAACCCTACAGCGCATAGTGAGGACAGCTGAGAGGATCATAGGGGTCTCCCTCCCATCAATCCAGGACATCGATCAGGCACGCTGTGTACACAGAGTGTCTGCCATTGTGAAAGATTCATCTCACCCCTCCCACCATCTGTTTGACCCTCTGCCATCAGGCAGAAGACTATGCAGCATCAGGACCCGCAGGGCAAGGT